GGGAAAGAACTGTGAAAATTCAAAATCAATATGACAGAAAATAATTTTAAAACACCATCTTTTACCACATATCATGATAAATTCCAAATGGATCAACAACCAAAATATAAGAAGTTCTGCCAGGAAAAAAAATAGAGGAAACAGAAGGTTGAAATTTTAGCAATTATGGGTAGAAGACAGAGCTCTAATCTGGAAAATGGGTTATAAGATATTATAAAAGGTAAAATAAAGAACTCTAAAACCTTTTACATAAATAAGTGCAACTGTAATCAGAAGAAAAAATATATTCTAGGAAGAATATCTTTATATCAAATATCTCCGATAACAATCTGATATCTAAAATTCAAAGAAAACAACAAAGAGCAAGAAGATTAAGGGCCACTCCTTAATAAAAAAAGCAGTCAAAAAAAAAAAAGAACAAAGGATTAGGTAGAATTTATGACTTGATTAGGTGAGGTTTCCCTGTAAAAGTCAAATAAAATTCAGTTAGCAATTGAAATGAATTTATTTTTGACAGACTGACTTGATGTTGAACATGCTCTTAACAAGAAAATGAAGGAACAGAAACAGAAATCTTAGTGTAGGCCATACAGACAATGGTAGAAAGATAGACCTTCAGCGTAGCTCCAGGCTCAAGACAAAATTTAAAATCGATAAGCAAACAATAAGAATATATCTATATATCTATAGATCAAAGCATGAATGGAAATGGGTGAGAAGACTTCAGTATAAAGCAGTACAAGCTGAAAGTGCTCTAGAAGGTCAAATGATATGACGAGGAATGAGTAAATCTGACAAGTAAGAAACTCCTGCATTTACCAAAAGAGAAGTGTGAAAAAGTGGGTGTGAAAAATAAAATAGACAATCTATCATTCCTAACTAATTTGATAAATTGTTAAAGTAATTCTTTGTCTTACAGTATTTTAGTTTTTGTATCTAAATAGTGAAATAGAAGTATACATATAACATAATATGCTACTGAAAAATGTCAAAAAAAAGAAAAATATCATTCCATGTGCAAGATGTACAATTTAAAATATTAACTGTAATCAGAGAAAGTGTCTTTGAAAAATCCACACACCTAAAAGTGTACCTGTGATAATTTTAGCACTATGGGGATAACATTATTATTATGACTGCTGTGGACATAGGCATTTTCTGTAGAATCTGGCCTCCTAATAACTGTCAGCTTACTTTCTTAATAGATTTTAGGCTTCAAGAAGGCTGAAATAATGTCATCTAGAATTGTTCTTTTCCTTTTCTTTGCACTAGGTGGTATAGACATATAAATGTTTAAGGTTGTTTTAATAATGAGTCCAACAAAGAACTTATGATTATAATCCAGATATTGCCCAAGATTTAGAAAAGCAAATATTTTTCATAGGTTTATATAAAATAATTGAAATAAATATATTTTTTTACCAGCAAAAAGGCACCAAAAAAAGCATTATATTGAGAATCAGGATACGTGGGTTTGAATCCTGGCTGTGATTTTGCGGATATCAATGAACATTTTTGAGTTTGTTTTCTCAACTGTAAAATATGGCAGGAAGATGATAAAGGTCAATAGTCCATGGTTCCATTATTTTAATGTTAGGGGAACGTGGAATCACAAAATGCTTTCATGTTTACAAAGTGGAATTGTCGTCACTGTCCTATGAGGTAATTAGCTCAAGCATCAGAATCCTCATTTTACAGACATGCACACAGCTCACCATTTCACAATGATTCAAACGTTTTTCCTCCAGCTCATTTAAAAAACTTTCATGGCCTTTTTCATTCAACCATTTTTTGGTAAACTAAACTAAAACACTCTCTATATATTCTTTTTATCCCTTTTATTAACTTATGTGCTCTATAAGTCTCCAGGAGAAATTTTCTTCTTAGTCCTCTATAAAACTCTGAATTAAAAATATATTTCATGGAAATTTAAGGTGATTAAAGTTTTCCTATTTCTGTCTGAAAAAAGGAAGGCAGGTCAGAAATGATTGGTGGCAAATGTATTTAAAACATTGCCTTGTGTTTTTTCCCTCAGTGGTCACCTGAATTAAATGATGAAACATGAAAATTATAAGATGATTCAGGGTAACGTACTGTAAAGATTCTTTTTAAAATAAATTTACTCAGTACAAAGAACATGAGGCTTTCATTGGGATTTCTGTGTTTTTACTCCAATATCCTGATTCTATTTGTCTATAATTATTTTATAAGACTGGGTAGTTTGAAGCTGACTGAAGTAATATGGACACTGACGGTGCCTACTGAAAGTTGAAGAATTTTTGGTCCTTTTTTGTTATTCCCAAATACTTGGTCTGGATACTACCTTCCACCCCTCCAACTGACTGACCTCTACATGACAGTCTTCATGAGTCTTTGCCACTTAAAAAATTCACCTGGTGATTGTGAAGTCTCCTAAAATATTCTTATTCTGACATGTTTATGGGGAATAATCATGTCTCATATTAAAAAAATTCACACACACATCTGATATGCAAAGATATTCACTCAATATTATCTTTATCACTAGTCTTGCAAGCTGTCCTCAGCTCCCCCAATGCAACAGATCTGATGAGACTGCTGGTCAGAAGATTCTTGTCAACAAATCTCGGGGTTACACAATCCAGTTGTCCAAAGAGGTGGATTTCCAAGCAATTGTGGATATTCTAACCTATGATGTTAAATTAATATTACTATTTCATCTACCTGAATACTATGTAATTATTACCCCTTGAAAATATAGCTATAACTTCTAGGAAAACTGAAAAAGAAAAATCAAGTCTGTAACTGATCCAGGATGATTCAGAAAATTCACAGGGGAATAGGTTTATAAATGAAGTTCCTGAATTCTATGTGACTCCATCTGCTGAAAGATGGTGACCTCCTTTACTATTACGTTCAAATGAGTTGTATTTGAAGATGAGAACTAAAATTTTATAAAGTTAAAGCTCTCGAGGTGAAAGGGAAATCTGTGGCTATCTGGTCTAACTCAAATTCTGACATGGAGGAATCTGAGGCAGGATTTGAATCTAGCTCCTCTGGCTGCTGCTTCTCTGGCTCCAGAGCACCTGGAGAAAATGAAAGGCAGCAGCATCCAGAGAGAAGGCCTTGGCTTCCACTCTAAACCTGGCATTTCCCGTGCGGCCTTTAGCAATACTGTAAAACGAGGAGGTGAAGAACATGTCCTCGGATGGTCCTTCCACCTGATCTCAGTGGTTTAATAGCAGCAGTATAATTGCAGCAATCGTTCAACAGGGAAGCAGGGCATTTGCATTCTGGTTCTGTCACTAATGGGCCATGTGACTTTAGAAAAACCATGTAAAATCACTGAGTATATTTTTCTCTTATTCAAAAATAGGGGAACGGACCAGAAAATCCCTCAAATTCCTTCCAGTTTCAAATCTCAGCAATTCTATGATCAACGAACTATTCAGGAACTTATTATTTCAACTGGAATATAAATTAATAAAACAAAGAACAGTCACAGGCCATAAAGTCAGTCAACTAATTAAAAGCAACAGTTATGAGGTTTATAATTAAGAAAGGACAAAGAAAGAAAATATTTGTCAAAGGTTTCCAAAATTTTGAATAAATTTCAGTAGCAATTTGATTCATTAAGATTTGTGAAAATAATAACCAGCAGTAAGTCACTTACTGAAAAAAGACTCATGGACATTAATTGCTTTCTTTTTTTGTATTTCACAAGAATATATATTTTTAAAATGAGAGATAGGTTTACATTGAATATCCTAAGACCTGTGACTTTACAGATATTTTCTGTTATCCCTTTGTTCTTTGGTAAGTTTTGCCTGACAAATAAGAATTCTAGGATGAACTTTTTACTTAGTCTGACAAAACTTGAATTAGTTAAACTTCAAAGACCAATACACACTTTATTTGCATGAAGAATGTGCTGTTCTGTGGACTTTAAAAAAAAATCAAAATTCATTTAAATAAATTTTTTAAGAATGAAATAGATTTAACTTGAATTTTTAATGGATATTAGTATTCTTTAAACAGTCAATATTGGAAATTTTTACTTTTAGCCTGGACCTCTGATTTCTTTGGTGCTGCTACCAATTCAGATCAGCTACTGTTGTGCATCTTATGAGGGGGCATGGGGAAATTCAGTACTAGCCCAGGATCACAGGGTAAGTATGTGTCATAAGCAGAACATGCATTTCAGTCTTCTTAAATCAAAGGTCTGATCTTCCTTTGCCCAAGCAATCTATCTTTCTAGCACTAGAGAATCTCCCAAGAAATTGGACGATTTTTACTGGAGTTTTTTCTCCCCTTACAGCCTTCTATTTCTTGATTTCCTCAAGAAATTATCTTTTGTTAATTCTTATCAATATGTTTTCCCTCTAATCTCATTTTGTGAGTGATTATTATTACTAGAAAGAAAACAACCCCTTTGGGGGAAATTTTAAGTATACTTGGAAACTGTTTCAGGTAAAAGACTGACAAGATTGCTCAATATAGGATACATGGATTTCCTGTCAATCAAAGACTACAAAAGGTTAACTTGGGAGATGGGTAGGGTCACATTCTCCTACCACGATGGGAATATACTGTGTTGAACAATAACAGAAAGAAAGGCACGCCTTGGTGCCTGGAATTCTCATTGTTAAAAAGTCAGTGTTATAAACAGTTTTCCAGCTTTGTAGAAGATACTCCTTATTTGTCAGAAGGTGGAGCTCTGTACATGTCTGTATTACTCTCTTTTGTGTATGTGATCCAATGCTCTCTGTAACGAGCAGGGCTAAACCAGAGGTTGTATTCTCTAGAAACCTGGCTCAGAAAATATTCAAAAATCTCTCAAAACACTACCTACTGCAATACACACACGCTGGCTAATAAAAATTATGTTTAGTATGTTCAGCTAAAATTCCAATCAATTGTTGATCACACAATTTTAAGCATATGTAAGTCACTTTTAAAGGCAGAGAACGTTTTTCAAAAAAAGCAGAATAACTAGTGCAGATGAGGTAATTTATACTCACATGCATCTCGAATATATAGTAACATAGCTACAAAAACATAGTCCACTAAGCCCAGATTGATGCTGTCTGCAAATAAAGCATCCCAGACAACCAGAAGATCCTGAAGAGGAAATTCTCGTCCAAAAAGCAGTCGGACCCATCGCCTGAAAATAAAACAAACAAACAAAAAAATCCTCAGAAAATCTTAATTACAAGAGCAATACAGAGAATTTGTAGATGTAATGTGATAAAGGAAAAAATGCTATCGAGTTAACAGAATAAAAAACGTAGAGTATACTTTAATGAGAACACATTTTAAGTTTTAAGCTTTCAAATTAATTTTGTGATTCCAGAGATAGGCCCTAATTTTTAAATTTTATTAGTATGTGCTGAACAAATAGCTCCAAAAATACAAAACAGAGAAGGGAGGAGGGAGTGAAATATCATATTCAGTGTAAATAAATGTGTAAGAAAAATTAAACGATCTAGCAGAACACTTTAATCTTTTATCTGATTTGCCTCATATGATTCTGAAAGCTGAAATTCATATGAAGTATATTCCTCTTTTAATTGAAGATATATGACATACAATACTCCTGGATTCTTATTTTGTAAAGCAGACTAAAATCCTTTCTTATACAATTACATTCTGGTCTTACAGAAGAAAATTGGCTTTCTTATAGAATCATATACCTTTCAAATTTAAAACGTCTATTTTTTAGGTAAATAGGAATAAATGCCTGCTTTTGTTAGCATCCAATATAGATTTATTTTCAAATATAGCCATATCATTCATTCACTTTCATCCAATAAGGATCTATTAAGCACCTAGCAATCAATCAATCCACAAACAAGTATTAAATGGCTACTATGTCCCAGACCCTATGTTACACGCTGACGATACAAAGACAAAAAAAAAAAAAAAGTACGAGTCCATCTCCTCAGAGACCATGCACTGTATTGGGGGAGGCATAACAACTCCATAGAATATCAAATGCAAAATATCGATAAAGTGACATCGTGGGGAGGCTCCAGCTTCCTGGGATGGTATGGCACGGTATCAGCACCCCGAGCAAGTGACGGATTCTCTCAGGGTAGGTAAGGACAAGGGCAATTTAGGCAGTGATGAGCAATCCAGTATTATGTGAGAGGACCAGCAAGTAGGATGGTTCAGTTGGAATGAGATGTTTGTAAAGGGAAAGGGTACAACACACTGGAAAAGGTGAACTGTGGAGACTGTGAAGGACCTCAAACAGAGGACTTTCTTGGAGAGCTTCTGGAACAGGGAAGTGGCATGGCCAGGCCTGTATGCTAGGAATAACATGTTGCCAGCTATGTACGTGGAAGATAAAATGGAGACAGAAGAGGCTGAAGGGTTGGGGACTAAGGAGGATTCACCCGCAGTGGTCCAGGTAGGATGCAGTGGGGGGCCTCAGTAACAATAGGTGGCTGATGCCAGAAAGCAATTTGGAACTATGCCCCATGGCTATTAATCTGTACATATGCGCACTTTGATCCAGCATAGATACGACCACTGTGTCTATACCCCAAAGAGATCAAAGAAGGAAGAAAAGGACTCATAGATACAAAAATATTTATAGTAGATCTCTCTGTGGTGGCAAAGAACTAGAAACTGAAAGAGACCATAATCATCAATCGGGAATGGCTAAACAAGTTATAGTATATGAATGTGATGGAATACTACTGTGCTATAAGAAATGATAAAGGGGATGCTTTCAGAAAAACTTAGGAAGACTTAAACGAACTGATGCAGAGTTAAGTGAGCAGAACAAGCGGAAAGAAACAACAAAGACAAACAACTCTGAAAAACTTAGGAATTCTGATCAGTACAATTTCCAACCATGATTCCAGAGGGCTCTTGATGAAGCCTGCTATTTGCCTCTAGAGGGAGAGAGTGGTGAAGCACTCAGTACAGATTGAGACTTTTTTTTTTTAATATGTCCAATGTAGGAATATAATTTCCTTGACTATACATGTTGGTAAAAGAGTTTCCCCCCGCCGCAATCCTGGGGTAGGGGAGAAAAGAAGGAGAGAAGGTAGACCTTTGTTGACTAGAAAATAAAATTTAATTTTAAAAAAGAAAAAAAAAGAATATGTAGCCAGGTACGTGAATAGAAAGGGTAGAATGCAAAATATATCGCAAAGGTAGAGTTGACAAAATTTGTCAACTTACTGAAATATGAGGGGTAAGGAAGAGGGAAGAGTTGAGGCTAGACAGCTAGATAAGGCATTTATTAAGTGCTTACCATGTGCCAAGCGCTGAGCTAAGCGCTGGGAATAAAAACAGAAGCAAGCAAGACAGTTCTTGCTTTCAAGAAGCTGACATTGTAACAGGGGAAGGCAACAAATAGAAGGGGATGGTGGTGGTGGTGAATACATTGTGGGGACGTGGTGTAGAAATGTCTTGAAAGTGCAGTGGAGGCCTGGATTTGAACAAGATAAAGCCAACGTGGGCCCATCAGAGCCTAGTTGGTTCCAGGGCAAAGTCCAAGGTTTGCTGGGTAGGAGGTTGAAATGATGGACAGAGCAGGGATGGCAAAGCATGCAAATGGCCTGAAAGTTCAGCAGATGACTGCATCCAGGTAAGGTAAGGCCAAAGCTGGACTGTCAGAATCCAGGGTAGCTCCAGAGGTAGAATCCAAGGTTTTGGTGGGAAGGAGGTGATGGTCTGAGTGGACTGCTCAATTTCAAACCTGGGTGGCTAGAAGGGTGGTAGTGCCCTCAATAAAAAAGGGAAGTAGGAAAAAGGGAGGAGGGTTTGGGGAAAAAGTAACAAGTTACGTTTGGGACATGGATAGTTTGATACGTCTATAGAGAGATATTAAAACTAGGAGAGAGTATTAACAATCTAATTATTTGGTGCTAACCTCTCTTCTGACTTGAAGTCTCTGATCACCAAATGCTTAATGGGCATCTTGAACTGGATGTCCTACAGACACCTTAAACTCAATATATCCAAAATACAACTCATTATCTTCACCCCCGCCTCCAACCCTCCCTTCTTCCCAATTTCTCTCTTGCCACAGAGGGCACCACCATCCTCCCAATCACTGAAGCTTGATGTCATCCTTCACTCCTCACCTGCACTCACCCCACATACGCTGTCTCACTACCTTTGTGACATCTCTCCCATATATCTCCTCTCTGCTCATACAGTTGCCCGCCTGGTACAGGTCCTTATCACCTCATGGCTAGACTACTGCACCAGTTTTCTGACTGGTGTCCCCCCAACTCCTATCCACCCCCCATTGCTGTCAAAGTGCCAGTCTGACCCTGCTGCTTCCCTACTCGATAAACTTTGGTGGCTCCCCATGACTTCCAAGAACATACACAAAATCCTGTTTGGTTCTTAAAGACCTTCACAGCCTGCTTTCTTCCTCCTTTCCCAGGCTTCTTATGCTCTCTTCTCCAACATGTGCCCTTCAATCCAGATGCATGGGTCTATTTGCTGTTCCTTGCCCACGACATTCCATCCCCCAAACTTTCCTGGTTGTTCCCCAAGCCTCCAATGCTTTCCCTCTCATCTCTGCCTCTGGATTCCTTCTGGACTCAGCTCAGAGGACACTTCCTTCAGGAGGCCTTTTCTGAGACCCCTACTGCTAGGGCCTTCCTTCCAAGATTACCTTCCCTCTGCTCACCATATTGTACATACGCATGAATTTGCAGGATGCTTTCCCATTTGAGTATGGACTCTTTGAGGACAGAGACCACGTTTTTGCCTTTCTTCTTATCTCCAGCTCTTAAAAGAACGCCTGGTGCTTAATAAATACTTGGTAATTACTGATGTTGCAGAGAGGTAAAGAAGGATTAAGTAATGAGAAAAGGTCACTGGAGTTAAGGTGATGGTGAGGCTGAAAGCCAAATGGCAAGGGGCTGAGAAGTAAGTGGGAGATAGGAAAGTGAAGCCATGAGTGTAGACAGCTTTTTTTCCAGGAGTCTGGCCAAGAATGGGAGGACATAGGATAGTAACCTGAGAAGGTAGGAAGATGAAGTGAAAGTTTTTAAAATAGGGGAGATCTGGGTATGTTTGTAGGTAAAAGAGGAGTTAGTTGATAAGGAGATTAAAAATTGGAGAGAAAGAGGGGAAGCTCCTGGAGAAGTTAGGAGGGGATAGGATTAAGGGCACAAGTAGAGGGGCTGGTATTTACAATGAGAGTGGCCATTTCTTCCTCTAAAATTGGATCAAAGAAAAAGAGAATAAAGATGATACTGAGGGGATTTGTAATACTGTACTGAGTTGGGAAGATGGAGCTTGTAACAGAGGGATAACTATCCTTATGGATGGCCTCAATATAACATTATATAATTAATAATTAAACTTTAGCTTCAGAGAAGGCATACTCATTGTCATCAAAGTTCTCAAGGCATAGGTGTCCTCTAACATGGTAAAGGATGGTTACTGCTTTTGACGGTACATGTCCACGTAGCCCAAGACTACTGAGCAGGTGTGTTTCACACAACTATACCTGTATTTTAAACAGTGTCATTGCTAATTCATCCATTTGTTTCCATAATTGGCAAGAAAATTAAAATCATATAACTAACTTTACAAAACATGGCAAAGCGTAGAATAGGGAAGACATAAGATGAGGCAGAAAAAGTCCTGACTGTGAACTCGGAGAACTGGATTCGCATTCCAGAACTGCCATGTCTCAGCTCTCTGTCCTTGGCTAGGTGATCTTGACCAAGATGCTTAACCTCTATGAACTTAACCCACTTAATGCAGCTATACAACAGAGAAACACATCTACTAATTACTTACCATGGATGCAGTGAGAATCAATTAAGATAGTGTGAACTTACTTTACAAACTATTATTGAGGGAGCTTGGTGCAATGGAATAAAGGCTTGGTTTGGGTTCAAATCCCTGGTCTGCCACTTAACACTTTTGTGATCTTGGGGAGGTCATGTAACATTTCTGTGATTCAGTTTCCTCATATGCAAAATTAAGAGGTTAGACTCAATGGTTTCTAGGGTCATTTACAACTCTAAATGTGTGATTCTATGCATGATATAAATGTCAGGTATAATAATAATTATCATCAACCCTTTTGTTATAAATCTCATCAATTTAACAATGACTCTTCAGTATCATAATTTTACTAAACAAAGAAAATCATTCACGTTTTCAGAAAAATATAAA